TCGGGTTGTTGTCTCTTTGACATATTCCCCATTTCCATTCTCAATTTTTAATAGTTAACTAAAACCAGGTACCTTGATGGGATCCAATTCAAAGGAATATATTTTGTGATATAAAAAAGCAAAATTGTGCCCATCTCATACAACACTGGTCATTTTTGATAATATGAAAAAGACGAAGCAATTATGCTAATGACAAAGTATTAAATCAACAAAATGTTTTATCATGGAAACATTTTGGTTATTTTTGTCATTGAGTTGCGGCTTATATCCCATATCTCCTGTTACTCATATCTTGATTAAGAAAATATATTTTGAAAGGTCCACAAATGTGAACTGCTTTCAAACAGAGACATGTAATGTTCTGTTTCAAATAAAGACATGTAATGCTCTGTTTCAAATAAAGACATGTAATGCTCTGTTTCAAATAAAGACATGTAATGCTCTGTTTCAAATAAAGACATATAATGCTCTGTTTCAAATAAAGACATGTAATGCTCTGTTTCAAATAAAGACATGTAATGCTCTGTTTCAAATAAAGACATATAATGCTCTGTTTCAAATAAAGACATGTAATGCTCTGTTTCAAATAATGCAAAATGTCATCAAAGATACAATAAATAATTAAAAAATATTGAACTAGCAATTAGAATGTAGCTATCAGGCATTTAATATCTTCGAACGTGCATTAATGTTTACGTAGAATTGTATTTAAGGATTTGTTTTCTAACGTTAACCCCTATAGTGATCGACTGTTTCGTCGGAGTTTGTTTACACAAGAGCAATAAAAAAATGCCTGATATTTTTATCATGTTTTTAATATAAACGTAATTTATATATATAACTGTACCTGGTGCTAGTTTATAGAAGACATCATCCTGATTTAGCTAAATATAATACATCTAGAAATAACCATTAATATTCCCTAAAATATACATGGATGCAGCATTTGGAAGTACAATTCCATAAAGGTAAGATTTTCCTTCGAATATGAATTTGACTGATATTAAATTTCATTAAAATTCCTTTAAAGAAACTTTTATTTACTGTAAATATTGAAATCATAAACAAATATTAATATTGTATATATAGTTTAGAGCACGGATGCATTTTTAGTCATAAGAATCTATCAATGCATATTTATTTTGTAAAATATGTTTCTGTACTAACAACAAAATTATTATTTTCAAATTTACCTGTGTACGTTACTTTTTTTAACGCCATTTTGTCCTAGGTTAAAGTTGTCTTTTTGACATTGAAACATCTTTTTTATTTATATTGTGTCATAGATCAAACTTATTCGTTCAGTGTATAAAATTAAGAATGAAAATGGGGAATATGTCAAAGAGACAACAACCCGGCCAAACAGCCGAAGGTCACCAATGGGTCTTCAACGCAGCGAGAAAATCCCGGAGGTGGTCCTCAGCTGGCCCCTAAGTAAAAAAGTACTTGTTTTTGTTATTGTATTTTGATCGAGTTAAGCCATTTCAATTGATATTTTATCGTGTTTATTTTTATGTTGTAATGTTATGCCACTGTTTCAGGTTAGGGTGAAGGTTGGCGCCTGTTAAAACGTTTAAACCCGATGCATTTTGATGCGCCTGTCCTAAGTTAGGAACCTGTTGTTCAGTAGTTGTCGTTTGTTAGTGTGGTTCATAAGTATTTCTCGTTTCTCGCTTTTATTAAGATTAGACCGTTGGTTTTCCTGTTTGAATTGCTTTACACTAGTCTTTTTGGGGCCCCTTATAGCTTGCTTTTCGGTCTGAGTCAAGGCTCCGTGTTGAAGGCCGTACTTTGACCCATAATTGTTTACTTTTTACACTTTGTGACTTGGATGGATAGTTGTCTCATTAGCACTCATATCACATCTTCTTATTTATATCATTATAAATTATAATGAAGAAAATGTAAAACAATTAATATTGTGATAAAAGCACAGGAAACACCACTAACTGAAGAAATACCCGAACTATATTTGATTTAGTATATTTGATGCACCATGTGGACATTTCAAAGTTCATCACACGATCCTCAGTGGTGCCGTCATCCAAGTTAATGCCATTGGCTACCTAGCTATATTTCACCAGCGTGTCTAGTCCGAGATTACTCTGACGTCCAACGGCTGTTTTGCCAGACAAGCTGAGGCCGTGGGACGTCAGAGCTCGTCCCATATCAAAAAGTGGATATTTGCCCGTCCAAAATAGATGCGCTGCTTCGTCGCTTCTAGTGCCAACGGACGGCCTTGGAATTATATAAATCGGGTATCAATTTGTTCATTTTTCATTTATCTCTTCATTTATGTAAGTTTCACCTACCTGCCACCCTTTATTTTCTCATATTTAGACAGTTTTCACAGTGACCCATCGATTCAGACATTTTTACTTTTATTTTCAAATGGACGTCAAGTTACGAGAGATTTTGCGACCTCGAGACTCAAATATGCAAATATTTATACTTTTTTCACCTCCTTTATAGGAGATCGATACTTAACATTTAGTAGCCAACCACGATTTTTCACCTCCTTTACAGGAGATCGGTATTAAGCATTTAGTGCCAACCACGATAACATTCGGAAGCTCTCGGATATTTACATTGCTTGCATCGTAAATGAGCGAGGTGTTAGATTATATATTCATATTGACCTAGGGTCATATGCATACATCATTTCCCACAGTCCATTGTGCCTTACTTTTTTCTCGTGATCACATGACAATCTTTCAAAATGAAAGTCAAAATGCCAGAATCGGTGGGTCACTGTGAAAACTGTCTAAATATGAGAAAATAAAGGGTGGCAGGTAGGTGAAACTTACATAAATGAAGAGATAAATGAAAAATGAACAAATTGATACCCGATTTATATAATCCCAAGGCCGTCCGTTGGCACCAGAAGCGACGAAGCAGCGCATCTATTTTGGACGGGCAAATATCCACTTTTTGATATGGGACGAGCTCTGACGTCCCACGGCCCCAGCTTGTCTGGCAAAACAGCCGTTGGACGTCAGAGTAATCTCGGACTACAGCGTGTCCAACAACAGAAGCATCGACAAAGTTGTTGTAATACAACAATACAAGTTACAGGAGAAATTCATTATGCACCATATTCATAGTGTTATATATTTAGATATTATATATGTGTGATTCATTTTCATATGTCTATACGGAGCGATGTCCGGAAATGCCTATTTGTTTTTCTCATTCACTAATATCAAATACCCCATTACATGACAAAAGATCATTGAAGGAAAATGTTTTGCGCACATCCAAATAACATGCAATGCTATCCTCATGTAAGACAATAAAATGTTCAACCGATAGAGCACATTCAATATGACATGTGTTTGAGCTTTTAATTTTGCTATTTGATAAGGGACTTTCCGTTTATTCCTTGCAGTTATTTAATTTTTTCAAATACTGGTTACGGAAAGACAATTTTCCCGCTCGATGGAGATAGGCTTTATGATTTCCATTTCCTTTTTTTTTTATATGATTGTTTTTTTTTTCTTCGAAATCTAATTTCAAAATTGTGCATGACATCTTTAAAACAGTTTATGTCACTGTAAGCTGACTATGATTATGTCAAACGTCTACATAAGGATCAGCCGTTAGAAATCATGCATCACCATCATATAAATTACTGAACTTTTTTTGAAAGTCATGCAAACTTAAGACATTTATAGACGAAACAGCATCACTGTGACAACATTAATCAAAATCATAAAACTGATTGAAAACTATGTGATAAATAGGAGATAACAGAGTTGTATTCGAAGATTTGAGGACTCAATTTCAGTTTACTGGCGAAGAGTCGGCAAAGCCAGTAAACAGATGCTTGCGGCTATTAAATAAAAAAAAATAAAAAAAAACTGATGCCCGTGGATCTTCAAATACATTACCATTGATACGGAAATTTGCTTTTTTTAAACCCGGAGATTAAAAATATTCTAGGAACATTTGATCATGAAGTAGCAAATAAAGCCGTTAATTATTATTTTTAATTATTCTTATTAGGTATACTAGTATCACCTTGTCCAAGATATATGCAAAAAATGTAAGATATAGTTCGCCTTTAACAAGATAGAGAGAGATTTCTCGTATAGAGTTATTGTTTGGTTTATTTATGTGTTATCTGGTCAGTGCTTGACCAAACCGGCCATAAAATTTAACGACCTCCTTCAAACCAGATGTTAGAGTGTATTTATATAAACACAGACTGCCAGACTCCACGTCTGTATAAAAAGATCAAAAATAGGAATCTGTGTTATGATTCCAGTTATTAGGGAGACAATTATTCATCATCAAGTATATATTTTAAAAAGGACGCAGATATAGTGCATACATGAAAAGAAACATGACATTTTATAAAATATATAAAACATGTAAATACACAGTAAAATTATATGACAATGTACAAAATTAAACAAAACAATAAAAACTTCATGTCATCACGCGGAAGTTTAGTACATTTCTGTCAGTTAGCTCGCCAAATCATGACTGAACTTTGCTTTTAATATAATTTATAAAAAAGGAAGAGCGACGAATCAATTTGATTTGTTAAAGAAATATTTTTAAAAGCATGATTTTCATAATAATAACATATTCTAACGTCGTCAATGTTTGATTTTTTATTTCTCCAAATTTGCAACTTTTCGTAGTAAAAATACTGTGTATTGATATTTATATTTTATTTGAAAATTCTTTAACATTCACATATCTTATCAGTTGGTGTTAAAAGATTTACTTTCAAGTCTTAGTCTTAGTACAACTGATAAATTACATATACGTATATTCTGATGACTCGGTGGGTCATTATTTCCTATCGAAATTATATTTACCATAAAAATGACAATATTTAACTTAAACACAGATAAACATCATAAGAGGTAGTGTCCACTTAAATGTACAAGTATATAGATAAAGGTCATGTTTTGGAGAGTAGTGGGCAGACAGGAAAATAGCATTGTAGTCAGACAATGTTACACCTTATACAGGTAATTATGTACCTGTAATCTGTGACGTAAGCTGGTGTTTTACCTTTCAAATAATTGCATGTTCATTGCAGAAAAACTATACATGATTAACATTAAGGGAAGTTTTAGTGCGGAACATAATTTAACTTCAGTTTTCAATTTCTTTGTTTGAGTGCGGTGGAGTTTTATATTTGTGAGGAAATAACTTTTGTTCGACAATTAAATTATAAAGCAAGGTCAGTATGTCAGATATATTTGTCATGTTAACATTCACTTAACATTTATTACCAATTAAGGTTTTGTATATATATATATATAACGAACACAACAATATATGAAAAACTTCCTGAGGTACAACATTTCTGCAGTACGCAAGGGGTGAATGGGGTTGCCAGAATAGAGAGTAATGGGCAAAAAGTGCACAATAAAGGGCCAAAAAATAAAGAGTAGAGAAAAATGGACCAAGTAAAAGAAAGAATAGAGAAAAATGGGGTACTAGAATATAAAGAATAGAGGATAATGTATTGAGCAAAAAATATAAAGAATTGAGAAAAATGGGCTAAAAAAATATAGAATACAGAAATGAAGGACTCCTAATCCGAACCCTCGTAAATAAGAGTTTTCATTGGGTTTTTTCATGTACCCATATACTACGGTAGTTAAAATGTATTCTTTTATTCGAAATGACAAATGAATCAGACACAATTTTTACAAATTAGTAAAGTCGTCATCATACATCAAGATACACATAAATGAACAATACATATATCTGACATTAACAAATTATTTTACGATAACGTAAGCTCCTGTTGGTCAATACATAACGAATTTTTCCCACTGAAGACATTTTGATGGCCCTAAATTGTTGTAAATTTATACTCTAGAGTTACCTCTGTCATATGTAAATTTTGACAAAGTGCAGAAATATGCAAGTCTTTAAAATAAGCGACCTTGTCTGTCATGTATATTTGTACATGTAGCAATTATAACCTCTTTTAATCTTATTTCAAAATTCTCTTGACGTTCATCTGAATTGTTTGATCGGACAGTATATATATGGACCAGCCTTGCGATATATGGCGGCTGTTTTACTGTCATTAAAGAAAAATGATACGGGTTTGTTCTCTTACAATGAAATAGGGAGGTTTTTTGTTAATATACAGTGTGTAATACGAACTATGATATATATAAAATAAAAGTCTGTAATATAAGGTTGATATATCATGACCAAAATCTGTCGTAAAAAAAAATCAACAGTTTGTTAAATGTAAATACATTGTAGTAGTAAAAAGTTAATATAAACTTTAGTATTGGGAGTAAAAATACATTTGTATATTTTTATACATTCCATGAATCCGAGGATTTATACATTTATACATCCTGCAGAAACTAGAATGGAATCTTTTGTACTCAGGAAACAAAACAATTTAACCTAGATCACAAAATATTGCATACAGTCTAGAAATTTTTAAGCATAGTCCTGGTGGTAATTTTGGAAGGAGCCGAACTCCCAAATATGACTTTCAACATCGTGTTGACTCATACTTTACAGTTGGTCAAGAAAAGGCGGGAAATTCATTGGAAATAAAAATATTCATGGCAAGAAAAGATGAAAACCAATGATCAGGTCCGTATACATGTACAAAATATTGAATTGTACTGTACGATCATCCTGTATTATATTTGATGGTTGTAATCCTGTATTATATTTGATGGTTGTAATCCTGTATTATATTTGATGGTTGTAATCCTGTATTATATTTGATGGTTGTAATCCTGTATTATATTTGATGGTTGTAATTCTGTATTATATTTGATGGTTGTAATCCTGTATTATATTTGATGGTTGTAATCCTGTATCATATTTGATGGTTGTAATCATGTATTATATTTGATGGTTGTACAATGTTTTAACAGAATTTGGAAAGTGGAACGACGACTTTGTATCAAACGTTGTTAAAGGTTTGCGTGATTGTTTCTATACGAGAATGTCAGATTTGTTAGTAGGTTCCTATGTGAGAATGTCAGATTTGTTAGTAGATTCCTATGTGAGAATGTCAGATTTGTTAGTAGGTTCCTATGTGAGAATGTCAGATTTGTTAGTAGGTTCCTATGTGAGAATATCAGATTTGTTAGTAGGTTCCTATACGAGAATGTCAGATTTGTAAGTAGGTTCCTATGTGAGAATATCAGATTTGTTAGTATGTTCCTATGTGAGAATGTCAGATTTGTTAGTAGGTTCCTATGTGAGAATGTCAGATTTGTTAGTAGGTTCCTATGTGAGAATGTCAGATTTGTTAGTAGGTTCCTATGTGAGAATGTCAGATTTGTTAGTAGGTTCCTATGTGAGAATATCAGATTTGTTAGTAGGTTCCTATGTGAGAATGTCAGATTTGTTAGTATGTTCCTATACGAGAATGTCAGATTTGTTAGTATGTTCCTATACGAGAATGTCAGATTTGTTAGTATGTTCCTATGTGAGAATGTCAGATTTGTTAGTATGTTCCTATGTGAGAATATCAGATTTGTTAGTATGTTCCTATACGAGAATGTCAGATTTGTTAGTATGTTCCTATACGAGAATGTCAGATTTGTTAGTATGTTCCTATATGAGAATGTCAGATTTGTACCTACAGGCTCCTCCATATTAATTATATAATGAGTTATCAAATGTAATATCTCATTCATAAATCAATCATTACAAAGTAACCTAGGGTAAGGAAAGGTGTCATATCAAAATCTAAATGATTATTTGTTTCACGGACCCTATATATTTTGCCGCAGGGCCCAATTTAATATTATCAAATCAAACTACTGATTCAAACAGCTGAAACGATATTTTAACATCTATATTAATACTCTACATCAAAATTTTCTTTGTACTGACCCATCACTGATCTTTACGAGTTATATGTTTGAAATAAGATAAACAAGTATCATATATGTTAGATAAAAATCCTTTTTTCAACTGTTCGTCGATGTAAAAAAGGCTACTCTCTACAATGTGGTTCTGTATATGTTATCGCACACCTTTTAAAAAATCATGTTTGTAAATCTTATTTTTTTTATTTCAAAATGACAGCCAGATTATAAAGTTTTCACCATATCTACTTGTTACATCAGTAAGCTCCTATTGAAATTCGTTCCAAGTTCTAATAACTATACCCCGGTAATCAATCAGCTGTTAATGTGTATGTTAAAACGTTCCACGAATTTAAAATCAGTTGGATATAGAATCCTCCTCGTAGAAGTTTGAAATTTAAATACTGTGCAAATCCATATTCCATTATATACCAGTAGTGTAGAAACTTGGATAACCATATTTGAACTACTATTGTTGACCCAGAACCAGAGACATCTCTGCCAGAACATAACTGCTAACCAGCTAGTATCATTCCAAATTGTACTGGATATCTTCTAAAATGGTTACTAGTAATTTATTACAACATTTACTAATATTTCATGAAATTGTTTTGTTGGGCAAACATTACGACATAAATAACGAAAAGTATTACATTTCCTTCCAAATTCTCAGAATAAAAACCAACGAACAGTAGTTACCTATGAAGAGATAATCAATTAGTTAAAATCGTTTACTAATTCATTTCAAGAAATTTTGTATGTAAACCAGTTTGAACACACTTGTTTATATGCAGACATTTGAAAACGGTTGTTTGCTTTTCAACCGATAAATCAAATATCTATCTCCTGTCATTTTTTTTTTTTTTTTTTGCAAAATGCAAAATGCAAAATAATAATTTCTTATGAAATATTTCCTTATGTTCTCCAATTTTAACACAAAAAAATTAAAACAATTTGTGATAAGTATATTAAGGTTTTAGAAATATTCCAGGTTTCTGAATAACCGAATTGGTTATATATAGCAGATATTTGAAATATGATATATATATATGCAAGATTTTTTAGTATAAATCAGAATTCTTATTTCTACTAGTAAATAGTTGAATTCCAATTTGCAATTCTAGAAGATACAAAAATTGACCAAAATCTGAAACATGACCCACTTACTGTAACTTGACCTTAACGTCAATTGACGTGTGTGCAAGTTACAACAAGTGGGTCATGTTTCAGATTTTGGTCAATTTTTGTATACAGCTGCAGTATGATAAAATCGAAAACAAATAATGCCTTTAACCATTCCAGTTTGGTCAAGATCAACTATGTGACAAGGTTTAAAGTTGATGTGACCTCAACGGCTTGACAAAAAACTTGAACATGATATGGAAATCGGACGAACAGAGACCAGAAAACATAATGCCCCAAATATTGTACCCGGGCAAAAAAGAAATCGTGGTGACAACACCAGTATTTAACATGTAAAAATGGACCAGCTCATATGTTTCAGTACATGTATATACACACTGTAATAAATCAACTGACGACAAAACAAATGATAATTAAAACACTTATTTATTATGAGTGTGTCACGAAGGTTATAAACTACAGATAGCGTCAAAATTTTAATTATTTTGTTGTTGAACAGTTTTGAAATAGCAAACTAAAAACAAAATGTTGATCATGTTGACATTTGTGTGAAATGTTTGATCAGTGAATGGTTATGTGTACGAATAAGGAGGGGGAGGTGAATCATTTACACTTCCGCTCCTTTAAACAAAACTACACAGTAAGATTCACAAGGATGACTATCCTACAATGCATTAACCAAATTAAACAAACTACCCTCAATTCCACGATTATATATCCGTTGCTATTTCTGCAAAATTTTACAGTGAGCAAAAGAAACAGTTCGGTGTGGTGGTAATCTAATACATGTAAGTTGTTTTATGTTGATTTCGTTGGATTTGGTTTACAAATCGTCGGTAGCGTAAGCAATTGCTGACAAAGGGATCACATAAGGATTGCAAGTGGTAAATTGTATTACATTCTAAAATAAAACCATGATATGGTCAATAGGACATCATGCTCATCTCGCATGTTTAGTAAACGACAAATCCTTAATTTGAAATGTATTTTAGAAACTTCTCAACATAATGGACGTGAACTTCTACTCATGATAAAATACCTTAAACCAAAACTTTAACCTGAGGACGAACAGACTGACGAACGCGTAGATAGAAAATATGATAACCCATACTATCAAAGACGGGTCATGAACAAACATGGAATAAAGATTGGAAATTGTTTGTTTACACTTTCCCCCTCCCGTAGGATATTAACCGAATACTTCTTCATCCGAAACGACAACAACTTATAAGGTCAAGTTACAGTAAACGGGTCATATCACAGATTTTTATAAAATTTTGCTTATAACTGCGGTATGCTAAATTTGAACCATAAATAAAAAAATAATGTATTACTTTTTTTATTTTCGGAAATATTATTGAATGAATTCTTCTTTTAACATATATAAACACACCGTAAAATTGGTGAAAACGTTTTCAAAATTATTGTAAAGTCATATTTAAAATCTCCACTACAAATCTATTAATTTTTCTTTAAAATTGACATGCTGCTGCTTCATAAATTTACGTTTGATTGATTTAAACTTAATAATAGTGTTACCGACTTCGTTTTGTATGCAGTAACCAATTTATTCCATTGTTGATAGCGAAAACTTGTTTAGACGTTTTGTCTTTGACAGATGTATACCCAAAATCGGGACGTTAGCGACTTTTCATAGGACATTTGCGCTTCAATTTATAGGACATTTGCGCTTCAATTTATAGGACATTTGCGCTTTTTAAAAAGGACATTTGCGCTTTTACAATATTTTCTACTTATGACATCCCTCCTATTTTATCCGGGCTTAGGATCGGTAGGTTTGACATGGCAGAGTTAGTCATAATTTTCATTACGGTTAAAAGTTTAATAGTCATTTCATAACAAATTCGTGTTTAAAAGTCCTTTCATAGCACATCAATATAGTTATATATAGCAAAAAGTAAATATTCTAAAGACATAAAGACACGTATGGTCATCACATGTCAGTTTTCGCTTGATATCTGAAGCTTAGGGAATAAAGAAATATAGCTCTTGTAATCTGTCCTGACTGGTTTTTCGCCCATATTTCAAATACATATTCTAGTTTCTCTTTCTCAAATCTTGACTGAGGTCCCTGTTCATCAATATAACGAATTTTAATGTAATTAACCGACTGTTATTCAATGATAAGAATCCATCGTGACATATACATTTTTTTTCCTTTATTAGTCTAAAGCTTTAAACTCTATGTTTAAGACTGCAGTGGGATATCCAGTGAACGAAAACAAAAGAAAATTCACTCTTCTTATGATAGAGTCGAGAAAGGCAATTATAAAACAATACCTGTGACGATACTGATCAAAAGTTATTTCTAAATAATTATTGTACATTTTAAAGACATTATTTGTTAAACTGTGTTTTTAGATATATACATGCAAATACACGATGTTTTATGTTCAGTATGTATCGAGATAATTGCTTTAGAAGCTTGTGAAACTGAAATTTAAAAACTGCCAATCTTTACTGCATATTAATAAAAAAAAATTGAAAAAAATCATGTACATACAAAATCGAAAGATCTTTCGGGTCACCAATTTTCTGAGTGTTCCAAAAAGTCCTTAGCATGTTACAACTTCCCAAAGTATGCTTATTTTTTCACACCTAAGTTATCGAGCACACCGGTCTGCTTTTGTCACATGTACATTCAATAGAGAACTACATGTATTGTCTTTTCGTGAATATAAACATTTAAAAGTCTGTCTGTGCAGGTGAAAAAATTAAAGATAACTATTTTTATAAGGTAGGTATCTTTCTACTATTTTGTAAACAATTTTAAGAAAAGGTCGTCTCGAGTTTTGTACAAGTATTTACGGTCTTCTCGATCTATTCACATTCAATATTTACATCGAGATAAGGTCTGTTTGATTTTGCTTAGTAACTTAATTTCAAAAGTGCCAATCTTTGCTGCATATCAATCGATTCCATTGGAATTTTTTCCCTGACTTTCTCTTATCTAGCTGTATATATATACGAATAATTAGCATATTCCAGAGAGGTATACAGACAGTTAAAAAATAAATTGAAGTTGGTACTCCAGGAATTTATTCGCATAGCAACATTTTAAACCAATTTTACACAAAGCTTCTATAGCCTGCTGTACTCGTCGTTTGCTTCTTAAGGAGGAAAATGATAACATTGAATGGAAGTTTTGTTTTTATTTCAATTTAATTCTATTTTTACTATTTACCAGAACGTTTTGCCGTGAATCCATAATTGATAGCGTCCTTGCCAAAATGAGACAAACATTGAGAAGATCTAGCTTTCAGTGTTTACAGGGGAGGTAATATTTTGTCACTAGATTTCCCACTGACTGTGTCAATGTGAACTAACTAACCACTAAAATTACAGGTAGACGACTATAGGTAAAAAGCGCAAATGTCCGGTCAACTTGATACAATGCTATATAAGCAGATATAACAGCTAAATGAATTATCTTTTTCGATTTTGGATTAGAGTTCAACATATCCAAATTATTTCCTAACTTTTTTTAAAATTCTGCGATGTAGCCCATTTACTGTTCCTTGACCTTAAGGACGGACCTACTGAACACAAAGAAAAAATAGCTGTTCACAAAATTATCATTTTTATTGAAATAATTTCACGTAGATGCTTTTTCATATTGTGGATTTTGTAATTTCCTTGATATAAAACTTTATTTGACGTGCAAATCTTACGGTCTCGGGGAATCTATGATCTTGAAAGCTCGATAAAACTTTGGACATTTTTAAATTGTTTTTAGATTAATTATGTTATTCTCAATAAGGTTAACTTTTCCTTTGAATCTGTGGAAATGATCTATCATCTCAAATACATGACTGAATAAAAGAAGTCCATTTATTATTTTTAAAAGTAGTTTTTTTTTCTCTCGATAATAGGTAAGCACGATTTATTTATAGCATATTTACAGGTCACATTACATTTAACTTTACCGAGAAGAAATTTGATATTGGGTCTGTTATCTATCAATTTCAAGAGAAAATGGTAATTTATGTTTCTATAAAATACTGATATATTCATATTTGACAAAACGCCAAACGTACAAGGAAACAAACTACTGTATACAAACTATAGAGTTTTAGCTTAATATTATGTTTGTTGTCTTTAACATCCAAATACTTTGTACTTGAAATAAGGAAATAGGGCGGTTACATTTTTGTGGTTTTGTTTTCTTTCCTATGTATTCATTCATTTGTTTATTTTACTTACATAAATCTCAAAACTCAGCGGTTGGTATTTTTCAAATATATAATTACACAGGGAAGCTAATATAATGTTTAAAACGAACTTTTGTCTTTGTCTCTTATTGTAATGTTTTTGCGTAATATTCCATTGGATACAACGATCACACTATTTCTATTTCCCTTTTTCTTTTTGAAATGTTTAGTTGATTTAAGATGATGAGGTCATGGAATACTATGACAGATATTAAAATATTACAAGTAGGTAACATTTATGACAACTTGACAACAGTTGC